TAACCAAGTGATAAAGGTTAACATTATCATTAATGAAGTGTACCAACATCATAAACCCATTAATGCGATGTAAAAGATAAAAGATCACTTCTGTGTTATTCTTGCCAAAAATACTTAGCTTCATTCCAACCATGAGAAAACATCAGACAAACCCGAATTGAGGGACACTGCAAAATAACTCATCAGTACTCTTCAAAAGTATTAAGCTCAAGAAAGACAGAAAGGCTGAGGAACTTACAGATTGGAGAAGACAAAGGGAAAAAACAACTAAATTTCATGTGGGATCCTGGATCAAAGAAAAAATACTACTAGAGAAACTAGTAAATTTTGAGTAGTTTGAATTAATAGTATTGTACCAATTTAAATTCCTTGTTTTGATCATCGTACTATAGGCATATAAAATATTAACATTTGGACAAGTAGGGTGAATTGTATGTGGGAATTGTGTATTCTTGTAACTTTACTGTAAGTCTAAAATTGGTTCAAAATAAGTTAAAAAATAGAAGAGGAAACAGAAGAACCCTTTCATTTACTCATTTAGCAGATACTGAGTGCCTACTATGAGCCACATACTGAAAGTATTAAAAGTGGAATAGTAAATAAGACAGAAAAGATTCCTGTCTTCATGGAGGTTAACATCACACAATGGTGAGGTATAAATAAAAATGATGACTACAAATAATTAACAATGATAAAAAGTGCTACCAAAAAAAAGGAAGGTGTAAATGAGGGACCTCACATGTCTGTGATATCAAAAATCTTCCTTGATTTAAACTGAGACCTGAAGGAAGAGTAAGTATCATCTGGAGTGGAGGAGGGGAGATACCACACAGGACACATTTAAGGACTTAAAAGCAGAGCTGTGTAGATGAAATCTCAGAAGCAAGCAGGGGAGTGGCTTGAAAGATCAGGAAGCAGGTCACAGGATTTTTTATGGCTTTGTATTCCAGCCTAAGAGCTGTAGGGAGCCACTGAAGAATTTCAAATAAGGGACTGATATGATCAGATTTGTATACCTTTAAAGATTCCTTTACTTCACCTGTGGAGGGAACAAAGATAGATATTGAAAACTCCTAAGGAACAACAATATGTAAATGGTAGGCAGAGGAAAAGGGACTAGAGCATAGCCTGCTGAGAAAGACTGTGGACATAAAGCAAAACACAGCTGTTAGCAATGTCAGATATCCATCAGAGCTCAGGAAGTAATAAAGCCCATTGCATGAACAAAAGTGTTGTTGACATTCCTAACCAGAGCAATTTTAGCGGTGTGCTGATGGCAAAACAGAAGAAAGATCATAGATAATTGAAAAATAAATGGATAATGAAGAAGTAGAGACAAGTACTAACAATCCTTTGAAGAGTTGTAGCCTTGAAAAAAGAATGGATATTAGTTACAAAAGGGCATATAGCCAGTGAAAGTTTTTAATGCTGGGAGAGATCTTAAATGGTTTTAAATTATGACAGGAGGAGTCAATAAAATGAAAGATCAAGTTGCAGATCAAGGACTGAGAAGATATATGCTAGATTCAGGCCTGTAGGGAGGCTGGAGAGAATGGTTTGATCCTAGAGAAGAAATATTTTTTAAGGCAAATCCCTGGGCCAAGAATACTCCCCCAGAGATGCCATTTCATTAGGTCTGGGATTGAACCAGTGAATCTGCTTTTCAGCAAGTGCTGTGTGATTCAAGTGATCTGCAGACCACACTTTGATAAACATTGCTCTTTTTTTCTATTTTTCCCCTATACTAAGCCACTCCTGTCTTTTTTTTTTTTTTTTAATGTTTACTTCTTGAGAGAGAGACAGAGCATGAGCGGGGGAGGGGCACAGAGAGAGAGAGAGGGAGACACAGAATCTGAAGCAGGCTCCAGGCTCTGAGCTGTCAGCACCCAGCCCGACGTGGGGCTTGAACTCACAAGCGAGATTATGACCTGAGCCGATGTTGGACACCCAACCGACTGAGCCACCCAGGCACCCCAAGCCACCCCTGTCTTCACTTTCTTCCCCATCCAGTCTATAACATAAGGTTTCCTGGTTCATAGTCTAGCATTTTGTAAGGGAAGAAACTTCAGAACTACTATGGCACCGGAAGTGGGTGACAGAAGTAGAATGATGGCGAAAATCACTGTCATTGAAGAAGTTAACAAAATTAGAGGCTCTGATAATGGTTCTGAATTCCTGCTTGCTTAAAAATCACTTGTGAGGCACTTAAAAAATGTATAGATGCGGGACTTCATCTCAACAGTTTTTGGGTGGAACCTGGACATGTATATATACGTTAATATATACATGGTCAAGGAAGTTCGCTCAGATTTTTGGAAAAGCTTGGAGGAAAAAGGGTGTTAAGCCGGAAGTCATTCTTCATCTGAATTGATTATAATTTTAGTATTCCTTAGGCAGTCATGGGAATTCCTTACTTTCCAAGCCATCATGGTTACATATTTGAAAAAGCCTGTGGTGATACCACAGGCTTCTCTGGAAAGGACTACATGTGTATTGTATGAAAAATTACACACAGTTTGGGGATGGAGAGTGGTTGGTTTGGGGGGTTTTGTGTGTGTGTGTTTCCAATACAGGAATTAAAAGGGAAATTTTCAGAAGGGGATCAGATTAAAAAATGAAAAGGGAGAGAACAGGTACTAAGAAGAACTTCAGAGTATACTAGAAGGAACCTAGGGCTGTGAACCAGGAGACGTAGGTTCTAGAACCAGCTCTTTCACTTAGTTCTATGATCTTCAGCTTCAGAATCCTCCTTTAAACCAAAAAGCTGAGAACTAAATCAGTGCTTCCAACGTGTGTTCTCTGGAAACTTAGTCTCATCAGATGCCATAAGAAAATTCTCAAATAACTAAGTTTGCAAGCAATATATATTTGACATGCTCTTTATCCCTTTGGGTTCACACGTATGAAGGAGAAACCCTGTTCTGCCTAACTTGGTAAATGCTGTTTTTTATTATTGTGATTATTTATTATTTTGTAAGTGGTTTTGAGGTGATTGGGTTGAAACCATCAGAGCATTCTCATAGATTCTGTCTGGCTCTTCAGAGAATAGGACCCTTTTAGAGCTTTTGCTTGGTGAAATAGGACCTGTTGTTGTTGTTTTTTTAATGTTTATTTATTTTTGAGAGAGAGAGAACAGGGGAGGGGGAGAGAGAGGGAGACACAGAATCTGAAGCAGGCTCCTGGTTCTGAGCTGTCAGCACAGAGCCCGATGCTGGGCTTGAACCCACAAACCATGACATCATGACCTGAACTGAATTTGGACGCTTAACCGACTGAGCCACCCAGACGCCCCAGGCCCTGATTCTTAAAATGCTTTTAAATTACTCCTGAAAGGTGTACCTCTTAGTCAACTGGTTGTAAAATGTTGAATTCATGCCCTATCTTGGGCAGTGATTGGCTTCCTCATCTAACAAGGCCATTCCACTGGAACTGTGATTTTCTCTTCTTAAAAAAACTTACTTCTCAGGAATGACTTCATTCTTTAATACCATCACTAGCTTTTGAGAGAAATTTTTCAGGCCAAACGTTGTGAACAGAAAAAAGAATGTTTTCTTTCATGCTTATCAGCAGATCAAGATATTTTGCTCTGTTGTTGATGTTGGTGAAAGTCTTCTGAAAATCTTTCACTAGGCACGGACCACATGTTTTCTATTCTGAGAAGAGGATGGGTAAGAACTAAAGCTAAAGTTTGTTTTTGGTTGATGGATCTGTATATATCTGCTTTTTGTAATGTGTGAATCTGAGAAATTCTAGAAATGCTTTTTGATTGTTTTTAAAAATTCCACACCATACTGTGAGGTATGAACAGATAGTTTGTATGTTTCTTTACAGACTCTCTAGGTCACTAAGTGACTGAGACTGCTGGACTTCTTTTGTAAGACTGGTGCATCTCATTACATGTGCTACACCTGATATAGTATCTCACAAGATTCCTATCAGAAGGGAGATTTGAGTATCATAGTGAAATCTGTTCATGAAGGACTGATGCCTTTAGGGGGAAAAAGTAATAGCCGCTTTGAGGAACCCCCACATGTCAACCTTGCATGAACAAGGCAAGATTCTGAGAGTGGCTGCCCTGAGAAGTCATTCTTGTGGATAGCCCATTGGCTCCTGAGGTTCTCATCAGAGATGAAGCACCTTTAATACCTGGGAGTGAGTGATTGTTTTCCATAAGGCATTGGAAAATCAGCTTTCAGGGACTGACAAGGACACTGAAGCTGTTAGTACTGGTGTATCTCCTGACTGTCCTTCTAGAAGAAAGCAAAGCTTTGATGGCATTATAACTTAAGAACTGCAAAGAGGTGTAGTAATCCTGGTGGAGGACTGAATCCACGTACTCAAACAGGAAGGTGAACATTTTGAAAAATGAGAAGAGTGAAATCTCCTTTGTGTATTAGAAAAATCATCTTTAAAGATTTTCTTTTTAAGTAATCTCTTCACCCAACATGGGGCTCTAACTCACAACCCCAAGATCAAGATGGCCCAGGAAGATCAGCTTAAAGAGAGTAAAGGAGAGAAGATCTCTGGAGTTTGAGTTTGGGGATAAATGTATCCCCTTAAAAATAAGATCAGGCTCTCAACATATGTTTTCTCTATCAGCTCATATCAGTGGTTTTCATCTCCTTACTTAGAAGTCACCTGGAGACTTTAGAATTTAAAATGCTGTTGCCCAGGGTCATCGTAGACCAATTTGTATAATACTGGATTTATCCAAATCTTAGCATTTGCATTTTCAGAACACCCCCCAAGTGTGTAGCCAGGGCTGAAAATCACTGAACTTCCTTGAGCTTCCCATATGCCACAATAAGAGAAAGTCCTACACTGAATTCCTCAGTATGTTGGAAGAAAAAGAATGTTATGGTTAAGTTATCCAGCCTTTGAGCTTATGTCTTAGAGGGCTTTTCTCTAAACTGCCATCCTAACACAAAGCAAAAACTCTAAGAGTTAGTTTCAGTGTTATCACGTATTGACCAGATGCTTCTTTGCTCTTTTTCTTAGTTATGCCCTCTCAGAATGTTATACTTTCCCAAAGAGGGAACATGGAAGAGAAGGAAATGAATGATGAATCACAGATAGTCAGGTCTCAGGTAAGTTCACTTTTATTCTCCTCGGAAATGCTGTTATAGTTCTAAGAATGTGGGCACTTTTATTTTTCAGTTCTCTGTTGTGAATCCAGAGCCCTTTAGACTTTTATGGCAAATGATAATCTCTGTAAGATGTTTCCCATTTGCCTTATATATCCTTTATAACTCTTCTCTCCTTCCAGCATTTTTACAAGATCATGGGCTCATGTCTGTTCTAGATGTTTTAAAGGAAACAAAAGAAGCCATTGACTACCTTTTAATCACCCTTTACTTAAACAGCTCACCAGACTTTAAACAACACTTGTCATTCATTCTCTCTGTAAACAATGAATGATGCCCAAGTATGACTTCTTGGAGCTAATGACATTATTAAATATACCTGAGTACATCTGCCACAAGACAGTGTTTATCAAGAATCTCTTGTATCTCTTACAAAATCTGTTTAAGCCTGTTGTTACTATTCCATAATTTAAGTATTATGTAAACTGATAAGGTGTAACTATGACAAGGAGTTGTTTCTATGAAAACTAGTTGAATGCTTTGGAAAGACCTTATAAATGCCACTTTTTTTAAATTGCTATCAAATTATGTGTGAGAAAACTGTAAAACACTGAAGTAAAATTATAAAAATCTCAGAGGATTCTACACTTGTATAATTTCCCAAGTGTCACTTGCTTGTTCCACTTTAATGAAACAAAAACTGATGTATTATGGGTATGGGCACTCAATCATTAAAATCACTCTCATAGAAGAGGCTTAGATTTGCATCCAAAGATGAGCAAATGAATATACATTTATAATTTCAAATGAAAATGTTTAAGATATCTTTTATGGATCTCAACTTTAACAGCTTTTTAGCTTAACACACCAGCTACCAGTATCAATTAATTCAGATAGGAGTGATGAAATTTGAAGTGGGGTTCATGAACAAATGGCTAAGAAAGAATTCTCAAGACTTTTTTTTTTTTTTTTTTTTTTTTTTTTTTTTGGTGCAAAAAGGTGATTTTATTTAAGCACGAGGACAGGACCCGTGGGCAGAAAGAGCTGCACTGGGATTGGGAGGAGCAACTGATTATATACTTTTAAGTTTGTGGAGGGAGCAGGGTTAGATGAAGAAAAAATTAGTTTCTAAGGAATTTCTGTATGGTGAAAGCAGGGTCTTACTGGACCCTGAAGACTTAGCTATTGTCAAGATAAGGTTGCTTTTAGATTGTAATGAAATGTAAACATTAATGCATTAAGGCAGCCACAAACTCCTTGAGGAATGTTACACACTACAGGTCTCTGGTATCTATCAGTGGTCTGCAAGCTGTAAGGGGATTTAATTTAAACTACATTTTTCTTGTCTTTGTTTCCCTCAACAGGAGGACTTCTCTTGTCCCAAATTATATGAAATAATCATTATCTGTAGGTAGCCAATAAATTCATTGGAGGAGATTTTTACAGGTCTACACCATACAGCACTTAAAAAAGTGTAATGTTGGGTGCTCCTATGAGTGTAGAATGCAACAAAATACACCAGGTACTCAGAGAAGGGAGAAATCTGTTTGAGACCAGAATGATGAGGGTAGACTTCATGAAGAAGATAGAGTTTGAATTTGTGCTGATATTGGGTAGAATTTGGGGACTGAAGTAGACAGGAGCACTGCAGACAGAAAATAAAACTTGTGCAAGAGCAGGGACAATAAGAAGACTGGCAGCTGGAGCTGAGTGTTTATTTGGTACATTAGTGCTTTGGGAATCTTTGAGTTTCAGGGAATAGATTTATTAGGTTTATTCTTAATTATAAGGCTCCCCACAGACAGGAATAGAAAGACATCAAGAACTAAGGTGACATATCTGCTTCTTGGCATTCTAGCCAAAGAAGTTTGTTTTAATTTTCCAGAACCACTTATTATGTTAAGAAAGAAGATGATTCAGAAGCACCTGGGTGGCTCAGTCACTTAAGTGACAGACTCCTGATTTCAGCTCAGGTCATGATCTCATGATTCATGAGATTGAGCCCTGTGTTGGGCTCTGCGCTGTCAGGACAGCCTGCTTGGGATTCTGTCTCTGCCCCTCCCCTGCTAGCACTCGCTTTCTGTCTCTCTGTCTCTGTCTCTGTCTCTCTCTCTCTTTCAAAATAAACTTAAAAAAGAAAAAAGAAAGATGGTTAATTCATCAAGTATTTTTTGAGCAGCTACTATGTACCAGAAATTGTGCTTGGCATCAGATATACATCAGTAAGCAAAATAGACGTTCCTAAATCCAAGTTGCTTAGAGTCTAACAGAAACGTCCACTCACTTGCAAATTGAGGTGTTTATTATACAAAATAAGAATAAGAGGCTGTGAATGTGCATTAGGGAATCAAGAAAAAACTCTCTGGGGAAGTGAAATTTAAGGTGAAATGTAAAGGTTATATAAGTGTTAAAAGAAGTAAGTGAAAAAGAGCATTTAACATCATGTGTAAAAGCTATGGGTATATTTGAGAAGTTAAAAGAAGGCCACTATTGTTGGAGTGGAGGGAGGGAGAGAATGACTTGAGATAAGCTTGGAGAAGTATACATGGCCTAAGTATGCAGGACTTTCTTATGCAAGAAAAGTTTGGGTTTTATTCTAAATGAGGTAGAAAGCCTTGGGGGAATTTAAGCAGGATAGTAACATAATAATTAACTGAATTCCACTTTAAAGATCACCCAGATGTGTGCTATATAACAAATGAATTTTTGACAGGCAAGAAAGGAAGGGGGAGAGAACCACTTAGGAAGCTACTACCACATTGTAGATGATAGAAAATAATGACTTACAACTAGGTGGAGAAGGGGCGCTTGAGTGGCTCAGTCAGTTTGTTACAGAATCAGGCTGGAACGCTGGCAGAAAAACCAAGCGACACTTGGAGACCTTGGTGGATTGGAGATTTATTTAACACCGGCGGGCTCAGAGGAGACCGTTTCTCCGAAGATCTGAGCCCCGAATGCGAGCAGGAAGGGTAATTTATAGTTATCAGCCTCCATATTTGTGTGTGTGTTGGGGGAGGGAGGGTTGGTTTTCATGCTGCAGCAAACAAAGGAAGAACCCAGAGGAGGGGTCTCTAAGCTAGAGACCAGAGTTTGTTTTAGTCCAATCAGCCATCTTTGGTGTACTTTATCCACTTCTCCAACATTCCCCCTTTTGATGCCTTTTAAAAAAACTTTTAGTAGGCATCACCTTTCAGTTTTACAGGTTGGTACTCTCAGAAGGCTAAGATATGAGCAGTAGTTTGGCAAGCAACAGTGTTTTCAATAAAATGTATCATGGCATTCAGTATACAGGGGCCAATGGATATAAGTAAAATTATGGAGAGGAGAGGCCCCATCAGGGCAGAAAGCCAGGATGCCCAATCTGTGAGATCCCATCCTTTCCATTGATTGATATTTTCCTGTTGTCTATGTTGAATTCTTTCCTTGAGCTCCTTAACCTTAGTTGTAACTATTCCTGACTGATTTATGAAATAGCAACATTCCTCCCCCAGAAAGATGCAATTCCCTCCTTTTTCTGAAGTGGGGAGGTTGAGGGCTTTCCTATTTTGGAGGGTCACTGCTGCCAGAGAGTTTATTTGGCTTTGTAAGGTTACCAGAGAATCTGTCACCTGTTCCATGTCTTCATTCAGCTCTTGAGATAGTCTATGGTACAGTCCTACGGATGAACCTGTGCCCCCTATTCCAGTCCCTATTCCTGTCTCAATTCCTGCTCCTATCAGAATGAGTAGCAGGATTACCTCTTTAGCCCAGGACTTGGGGCTAAAGGCTGTTAGGAACTGATCTTCAGTGTATATGGATATCTCTGGGGTTAGGAAGACGGAATAACATATCTTAGTCCAGTTGGCCTCTAAGCAATTGGTAGGCTGAATTAGAACATAGATAGAACAACCCAGGGGTTGAACATAGGGTTGTATTCCTCTTTAAGGTTATATTTCTTCTGTATAGAGAGTTACCATTCATACCTTCAGGGACTGTACAGATTAGATTGTCAGCATTTGTGAGACAGATCCCAGGGGCCAGGGGTCCAATTAAGACAGAAGGGTTGGTTTTGAGATTTTCAGAAGCTTCACAAGTCAAATGGATAGGAGTGGCTAAGTAAGCCCTTCTGCTGAGGGGCAAATACATCAGCAGGTTTGGGTGTGATTATCTATTTTATGGAGGACTTGTAGAATAGTGTTAGTCCAACACTGGAGTGGGGAATTGGTAAACATCTGATTGAAGGCTGAAAGGTTCAAACCCTGGTGGGCTGCTGGGGGAATGTTCACCTTTATGGCTTATATTACCCTATCCTGGGTATCCTTTATAAGCTTTTGAAGGGCTGTGTCTTGCATACCTCCCCCGTCCGAGATCCCTCATTGAGGAAGGTAAGGTAAGGTAGCAAGCTTCCCTCTCTGGAGGCCCTTGTTGTGACATGGGTTCCTGACATTTTGGGTTATCTCTGCGGTCCAATACTTAGTCCTTGGGGCACCGGGTGACTGACAGAGAGTGTTTCTCCCTTGTAGCAATCTTTGTGGAGGGAGGTGAAGGCACTGAACGCCCTTGACCCCTTTATTGTCACATAACAATCCTGGGAGCAAAGTGGGTAAGCAACAGTTGAGAGGGTGAGAGAGGTTATCATAATATGCAGGCAATACTTAATAATCCTCCCATCCAGAGGAGGTATGTGAGACCCAGCATGCATCTTTTGTCTCATGTCCAGCTTGTTGGTGCAGTCTCTATCAGCCCAACAGTAAGAAGTAAGATTAGGTGGCGCCTGGGTGGCTCAGTCGGTTGACCGTCCAACTTCAGCTCAGGCCACGATCTCGAAGTTCGTGAGTTCGAGCCCCGCATCGGGCTCTGTGCTGGCAGCTCAGAGCCTGGAGCCAGCTTCGGATTCTGTGTCTCCTTCTCTCTCTGCCTCTCCCCCACTTGTGCTCTGTCTCAAAAATAAATAAATGTAAAAAAAATAATTTTTAAAAGATGTAAGATTAGTGCTATGACACCAGTAAGGGGCAAGGGCTGGC